AGATCCAAGATCGCACCATTGCACTCCAGCCTGGGCAACAAGAGTGAAACTCTGCCTTAAAAAAGAAAAGAAAAGAAAAGAAAACAGAAGTAGCTGAGGTAATCCCTGTAGACAGTGCTGGGAAAATGATAAGGATATCAAGACATTCCAACATCTGCTCCTGAAAATAATTTTTCAAATATGATACAACTCATTTAATTCAATACAAATCTGAATCCCGTAGGTCTTGAATATTTTAGCATAACTATATTCAAAACCATCTTATCTTTAAGAGTAAAGGATCACTGGAATTTTTTGAGGGGACACGCTAGTGGGGTTTAAAATAAATTACTGACTTTGAAAGACGTAAAATAGGCCACGTGCAGTGGCTCACGCCTGTAATCCCAGCACTTTGGGAGGCCGAGGCAGGTGGATCACGAGGTCAGGAGATCAAGACCATCCTGGCTAACACGGTGAAACCCTGTCTCTCTTAAAAATACAAAAAATTAGCCGGGCGTGGAGGCGGGCGCCTGTAGTCCCAGCTACTTGGGAGGCTGAGGCAGGAGAATGGTGTGAACCCAGGAGGCGGAGCTTGAAGTGAGGTGAGATCGCGCCACTGCACTCCAGGCTGGGAGACAGAGTGAGACTCTGTCACCAAAAAAAAAAAGAAAGACATAAGATATTCTGACTTAACTACATTGGCCTAAGCTTAAAGGCATTTCTATTTACCATAGATAAATAATATAATTTCATAAAAACTCTAAAGGCTGGGGAAATAGAAGAATCTGGGCTATATCAATGATTTTCTAATTTGTACTGGTCATGTGTTCATTTATTCAGCAGATTTACAGAGCATCTGCTATATGTCATTCAAGATGCCAGGTTCGGTGGACATAACAGTAAACAAAAATAGACACAATCTTTTCCTTTGAGAAGCTTACAGGTTAACAGTAAAAAGACAGTAATCACACACTCCTACAAACATAAGTGTAACAATATAACTATAAGTGCATGTAGTATACTGTTGCTTTGAAGAAAGGCCCCTGGTAAAGATGGTATTAGATCAAGTCAGGGAAAGGTTTCTGAGAATGCAATGGCTAAAATCTAAAGGACACTGTTTAGGCCAGTGATTCTCAATGAGGGTGGTGGGTCTCTTCCCCATGTGACGTTTGGCAATGTCTGGAGACATTTGTGATTGTCATGATTGGAAGGTACTAGCAGCATGCAGTGAGCAGAGAAGAAAGATTGTGCTACATCTCTTATAATGCACAGGACAGTTCCCCATTACAAGTAATTATCTGGTCTTAAAAAAGTCAATAGTGCCAAGGTTGAGAAATCTTGAACTAGGCAAAGAGAAAAGCACAAGCAAAGACCAGTGGTGGGAGACTCAAATATGGACAAAGTGGTTTGAGCAGAGAAAACTAGAAGGGACAGATAACACAGGGAGGGCTTATAAACCCTGGTAAGGAGTTTTGGCTTTATCTAAAGAATGAAGGGGGCCGGGCACGGTGGCTCAAGCCTGTAATCCCAGCACTGTGGGAGGCCGAGACGGGCGGATCACGAGGTCAGGAGATCTAGACCATCCTGGCTAACACGGTGAAACCCCGTCTCTACTAAAAAAAATACAAAAAACTAGCCGGGCGAGGTGGCGGGCATCTGTAGTCCCAGCTACTCGGGAGGCTGAGGCAGGAGAATGGCATAAACCCAGGAGGCGGAGCTTGCAGTGAGCTGAGATCCGGCCACTGCACTCCAGCCTGGGCGACAGAGTGAGACTCCGTCTTAAAAAAAAAAAAAAAGAAATGAAGGGAAAAACAAGTAAGTGAAGGGTTTCAAGAAGAGGAGGAGAAAGGGGGTGAAGACAGTGGTGATGATATGCTCAGATTAAAATTTCAAAAAGGTTAGTGACTGCAATATGGTGAATAGATTGGAAGAGAGTGAAACTGGATATATTGGTAGATGAAACAAGTAGCTAAGTAATTTAACTTCCTAGAAATTCCAAAGGCTGGGGAAACAGAAGGTGCTCGTGGTGAGGATGCAGGATTAGCTGAAAAACTTCTTTCTACAAATGTTCAGTATAGGAAAAGAACAAATAATGCATGGTGTTATACGTACTGCGTTCTGCAGTCTCAAGGTAGAGCAGTAGTCTCTAAGAATAAATGAAGTATTTTCCTTACATTTAAAAAATAGGCTGGGCGCGGTGGCTCAAGCCTGTAATCCCAGCACTTTGGGAGGCCGAGACGGGTGGATCACGAGGTCAGGAGATGGAGAACATCCTGGCTAACACGGTGAAACCCCTCTCTACTAAAAAATACAAAAAAGTAGCCGGGTGAGGTGGCGGGCGCCTGTAGTCCCAGCTACTCGGGAGGCTGAGGCAGGAGAATGGCGTAAACCTGGGAGGCGGAGCTTGCAGTGAGCTGAGATCCGGCCACTGCACCCCAGCCTGGGCCGCAGAGCAAGACTCCGTCTCAAAAAAAAAAAAAAAAAAAAAAAAAAAGGGGCTGGGAGCAGGGGCTTACGCCTGTAATCCCAGCACTTTGGGAGGCCAAGATGGGCGGATCACCAGGTCAGGAGTTTGAGACCAGCCTGACCAACATGGTGAAACCCTATCTCCACTAAAAATACAAGAATTAGCTGGGCGTGGTGGCGTACGCTTGTAATCCCAGCTACTCAGGAGGCTGAGGCAGAAGAATTGCTTGAACCTGGGAGGCAGAGGTTGTAGTGAGCTGAGATTGCACCACTGCACTCCAGCCTGGAGCGAGACTCTGTCTCAAAAACAACAACAAAAAACAAAAACATAAGGGAAGGCCAGGCATGGTGGCTCATGCCTGTAATCCCAACACTTTGGGAGGCTGAGGTGGGAGGACTACTTGAAACCAGGAGTTTGACACTAGCCTGGGTAGCAAAGGGAGACCCCGTCTCTACAAAAATAAATAAATAAATAAATAAAAAATAAGGGACAAGAGTATTTTTTGTCTTTATGTGATATATGGTGACATATAAAATACTTTATTTGTAAGGATTCAGGCAGCAAAAAACTAGAGTAAATTTAATTTTAAATGTAAATTTTAGTGTACAAGTTATAAATTCGCACTGATAAGCTCAGGAATTAATGAAACTAATGACTGGCTCCACTGAGTACAATCTCAAGAATATATTTTTTCCTTATTAAAGCTGAACTAGCAAATATTAAAAACTATTTTATTACAAAACAAAGAAAAGAATGAATATATATATGACTAAAAAAACCAATAGTCACGAACTCAACACCAAGTGGCATTTTTTTTTAAATAGCAAAAATTTCCATAAATGTTTGCTTTGTAAGTGGCTTTTAAGATAAAGATTTACATTAAAACTAAACAAAGGGCACTTAAACTTGACACTTTTCCACCATGGGGCAGCTGTATTACTGAATGAAAAGAAAACCTCTCCCCTATAATAACAAATTAAAAACCTAACAACTTTTGGTCTTATTGCAATGTATTTTTTTATTTCATTTGTTTCTTTTTTTTTTTTTTTTTGAGATGGAGTTTCACTCTTGTTGCCCAGGCTGGAGTGCAATGGCACAATCTAGGCTCACCGTAACCTCCGCCTCCCAGGTTCAAGCAATTCTCCTGCCTCAGCCTCTCTAGTAGCTGGGATTACATGCATGTGCCACCACGCCTGGCTAATTTTATTTTTAGTAGTGATGGGGTTTCTCCATGTTGGTCAGGCTAGTCTCGAACTCCCAACCTCAGGTGATTCCCCTGCCTCAGCCTCCCAAAGTGCTGGGATTAGAGGCATGAGCCCCTGTGCCCGGCCTTATTTCAATTTAATAGGCAACAGTGTTCATATTCCAGCTGAAAGTTAATCTGATTAATCCAACAAAATGTGCCTTTACTGTTTTATTAAACTGAACTCTATAATTTTGTGAGAATATCATTTAAATCTTATGTTAAAACTGGTCTTCATCACTTCTTAAAACTAAACACAAAAATAAAAGCTTTGGATAGTTTAGCCTTTTATTATTTATTTTTATATTTTATTTTTTGAGATGGAGCTCACTGTGTTGCCCAGGCAAGAGTGCAGTGGCAGGATCTCAGCTCACTGCAACCTCCGCCTCATGGGTTCAAGCGATTCTCTTACCTCAGCCTTTGAGTAGCTGGGACTATAGGCACCCGCTACCACCCCAGGCTAATATTTGTATTTTTAGTAGAGATGGGGTTTCACCATATTGGCCAGGCTGGTCTCGAACTCCTGACCTTGTGATCCACTTGCCTTGGCCTCCCAAAGTGCTGGGATTACAGACGTCAGTCACCGTGCCTGGCCAGTTTAACCTTTTAAAATAACCTAATTTTTCTCTAGTGAAGTAATAGAGACCTGACATATTTTGTTAATATTATGCCATCTAACATGACTTATTTAATGAAATGCTATTTTTTTTTTTTTTTTTTGAGATGGTGTCTTGTTCTGTCACCCAGGCTGGAGGGCAATGGCATGATCTTGGCTCACCACAACCTCTGCCTTCCAGGTTCAAGCGATTCTCCTGCCTCAGCCTCCTGAGTAGCTGGGACTACAGGTGCCTGCCACCACGGCCAGCTAGGTTTTATATAAAATACTAAAATTTTATGTAAGATTTATATTTACATTTAAATGTGGCTGTGTATCTGGCATCTAGTTTGGCCAAAAATCACAGCATTGTACTAAAGCACCACTAAACTGTAAGGATATACACATATCTTTTATATAAAGAGAGTTTCTTATTTCTTTGGTGGGGCTATAGATTCAAACCCCAAAGCTTCTTTTAAACCCAGAATTATATCACTTGATAGATGTTTGATTTACAATTAAACAGGGATAATGTGAGCTTTATCCTTCCCTACTATAGAACAAGAAAATCTTCATTTACTAATAACAGCAAGTTATTTTTGCTTCTCAAAAAATAAAGAACTATGTCAAAAATTCTATTTCAATTCAGTTTTGTACACATTTACTGCCATTTAAACAGTAATTATATTAATATTAGTCCTTAAAGAATTACTTACCCAATGAAAGCCACCATTTGCTCCACTATGTGCTTGCTGAATGTTATTATAACAAAAATTTTCTGTAAAGAAAACACCAGTTAAAATAAATTATTTAGTTATCAAAAAACCAACATAAATTCACAATTCTGGTAATAGTCTAAAGAGGTAAGATTGTGCCCCTAACTGCAATTTTTAAATTTCTTTAAAAATAAAATATAACATTTCCATCCTGGCCAACATGGTGAAACCCCGTCTCTACTAAAAATACAAAAATTAGCTGGGCATGGTGACATGTGCCTGTAGTCCCAGCTACTTGGGAGGCTGAGGCAGGAGAATTGCTCGAACCCAGGAGGTGGAGGTGGCAGTGAGCTGGGATCGCACCACTGCACTCCAGCCTGACAACAGAGTGAGGAGACTCCATCTCAAAAAATAAATAAATAAATAAATAAAACATTAATAAAAGATAACATTTAATTCAAATGTTATCATTTAATTCAAACGTTATCCACTTTGTATTCCTTTTTTTTTTGAGACAGAGTTTCGCTCTTATTACCCAGGCTGGAGTGTAATGGCGTGATCTCAGCTCACTGCAACCTCCACCTCCCAGGTTCAAGTGATTCTCCTGCCTCAGCCTCCCAAGTAGCTGGGATTACAGGGATGCGCCACCAAGCCCAGTTAATTTTTTTTGTATTTTTAGCAGAGACGGTGTTTCTCTATGTTGGTCAGGCTGGTCTCGAACTCCCGACCTCAGGTGATCCGTCTGCCTCAGCCTCCCAAAGTGCTGGGATTACAGGCATGAATCATTGTACTCGGCCTTTTTTTTTCTTCCTTCTTTTTTTTGAGACAGAGTCTCCCTCTGTTGCCCAGGCTGGAGTGCAGTGGTGCCATCTTGGCTTACTACAACCTCTGCCTCCCAGGGTCAAGTGATTCTCCTACCTCAGCCTCCCAAGTAGCTGGGGATTACAGGTGCACGACAACACGCCTGGAAAATTTTTGTGTTTTTAGTAGAGATGGGGTTTCACCATGCTGGCCAGGATGGTCTCGAACTCCTGACCTGGTGATCCACCTGCCTCAGTCTCCCAAAGTGCTGGGACTACAGGCGCCTGCCACCACGCCTGGCTAATAACAGCAAGTTATTTTTAAACTAATTACGGCAAGTTATTAATTTTTTGCATTTTTAGTAGAGATGGGGTTTCCCCGTGTTAGCCAGGATGGTCTCGATCTCCTGACCTCGTGATCTGCCCACCTCGGCCTCCCAAAGTGCTGGGATTACAGGCGTGAGCCACTGCGCCCAGCCAACAGCAGTCTTCTTTTTTTGAGACGGAGTCTCGCTGTGTCACCCAGGCTGGAGTGCAGTGGCGCGATCTCGGCTCACTGCAAGCTCCGCCTCCCGGGTTCACGCCATTCTCCTGCCTCAGCCTCCGAGTAGCTGGGACTACAGGCGCCCGCCACCACGCCCGGCTAGTTTTTTGTATTTTTAGTAGAGACGGGGTTTCACCATGTTAGCCAGGATGGTCTCGATCTCCTGACCTCGTGATCCACCCGCCTCGGCCTCCCAAAGTGCTGGGATTACAGGCTTGAGCCACCACGCCCGGCCAGCAGTCTTCTTTTTATCCACTCACTATGAATCTCAGGAACCTGGACAGGTTAGACTAATGTACATTATTTCTGGCAAGAAGACTAATAAGGCAAAGGTATACAACTGGTGTGTGAATATCATAAAGCTAACAAGGCAATTGTTACAGATAATTTGTGGAGAAAAGCAGGGGGTCTATACCAAAAACCAGTTATTTAGAGCTATAAATCTTCTATTAATCAACAGAGCTAGTAGTTCTTGCCTTTCAGTGATTTCATCACCATGAACTTTCCCTACCATCATTTCTTAACAATCAATGCCTAAATAATTGCACAATTTCAATGCAAACCAGCAAAACAAGATTTTCTTTTTGTATGTAGCAGCTTGCAAAGTCACTTCTGTGTAAGACAAAAAATGTGTCACACACCTAAGAACATATGTCTTAGCCTTTCAGGCTGGAGATCTGAGTGGGAATTCTACAAAATAAAAGGCACAGACCACCAAAGAGCCCTCTTAACCACATGCATAGAATAAACAAAGGAAAGGGTAGAGGAGGAGAAAAAAGACATGGGAGGGAAGAACTAATTGTGCTAGAATGAACAAAGATGGAACCATCTGTAAAAGAAGTCCTTCATTGTAAAGAATAATTTTTTTTTTTTTGAGACAGAGTCTCGCTCTGTTGCCCAGGCTGGAGTGCAGTGGCTCGATCTGGGCTCACTGCAAGCTCCACCTCCCGGGTTCACGCCATTCTCCTGCCTCAGCATCCCGAGTAGCTGGGACTACAGGCGCCCACCACCATGCCCAGCTATTTTTTTTAGTAGAGACAGGGTTTCACCGTGTTAGCCAGGATGGTCTCGATCTCCTGACCTCGTGATCCGCCTGCCTTGGCCTCCCAAAGTGCTGGGATTACAGGCATGAGCCACCGTGCCCGGCTGGAAAGAAGAATCTTAAGACAGATTCAGTTATTAAATATTTAGTGCCTACTATCTGCCAGATGCTATTCTAGGCATTATAATACATCAGTGAACGAACAGACAAAAATATCTGCCCTCCTGGGAGTTTATAATACTGTGTGTGTGCTGGTGGGTGTGAACATAGAGAGATAATAAAGAACACTGATGTATTTTAAGGGTACAGTAAGTAAATTAAACGGTACATGAAATAACATAAACGAGTATGTTGCCTTTCTTCATTATTTGGGACAAAGGTAATGTCTCTAAGGATACTGCCTGTTTAAAACTATTTTCTAAAAAGATACTCTTCTCGGCCGGGCGCGGTGGCTCAAGCCTGTAATCCCAGCACTTTGGGAGGCCGAGACAGGCGGATCACGAGGTCAGGAGATCGAGACCATCCTGGCTATCATGGTGAAACCCCGTCTCTACTAAAAAACACAAAAAACTAGCCGGGCGAGGTGGCGGGCGCCTGTAGTCCCAGCTACTCGGGAGGCTGAGGCAGGAGAATGGCGTAAACCCGGGAGGCGGAGCTTGCAGTGAGCTGAGATCCAGCCACTGCACTCCAGCCTGGGCGACAGAGCGAGACTCCGTCTCAAAAAAAAAAAGAAAAAAAAAAAAAAAAGATACTCTTCTCATGCCTTTTCCTATCTAAGGATACTTCGACTTGACCCCATGCAGCGGAAGGGGAAATCTGATCTAACATTAAAGGTAGATTGATTTGAATCTTTTAGGGGAAGGTTAATAGGAAGACATCAATAAAAACAGCAATATTTATTAAAGAAGGTTGTCTAATTTTAAGCTGAGGAAAAAGGGAATAAAGAAAAGCAGACAAGGAGACAGGTTTACTATTAGGGTAGAAAAAAATTGGTGTGTGTGTGTGGCTTTCCCACTATTATTTCAGAATGGCTAAAATGTTTATATTACTAATATTGTTTACCCATACAATGAGAAATGTTTGTTATTCTAAGCTACATCTGGATGTACATCAAGTGACATGCCTTTACAAAGTATGTCACCATGATACGATGGAACACAACAAACATATCCCATGGTCTTGGTTTAGTGAAGGAACTCAGATTCTTTCCTTTCAGAAACATAAATGGATTTTATCTTTCTTTTTCTTTTTTGCTTTCACATAGATACAGGGAATGAGCTTTATCTTGACAGAGCTTGGTTTGAATTCTAGGGCCTTAGGCAAATATTTTACCTTCTCTAACACAGTTCCCTCATCTATGAAATGTGGTTAACAACGACCTCTCAGAATTGTCTGCCATGAGATAACCACTGCAAATTACCTTGCACAGGTCCTGATCAATAGCAGGCGTTAAACAATTCAGTTTCCTTAATCATATCAATACATTGAAGTTAAGAAGGCAATGCAAAAGAATGGAAAGAATACTGAACTGGAAGTCAAAACACTTGGGTTCAAATTCCAGCTGTTACTTATTCTTTTAAGCAACTATTACTTTTTTTTTTTTTTTTTTTTTTTGAGACGGAGTCTCGCTCTGTCACCCAGGCTGGAGTGCAGTGGCCGGATCTCAGCTCACTGCAAGCTCCACCTCCCGGGTTCACGCCATTCTCCTGCCTCAGCCTCCCGAGTAGCTGGACTACAGGCGCCTGCCACCTCGCCCGGCTAAGTTTTTGTATTTTTAGTAGAGACGGGGTTTCACTGTGTTAGCCAGGATGGTCTCGATCTCCTGACCTCGTGATCCGCCTGTCTCGGCCTCCCAAAGTGCTGGGATTACAGGCTTGAGCCACCGCGTCCGGCTGCAACTATTACTTTTTAACCTCCCTACCTCTGAGAATTACAGAATGGGTACAGTAATTCCTCTCTTCCAGGAGTGTAAGAATTAACTCATATAGATAAATGCTTTAAAGTGTGAAGTTCCATTAAAAAATTAATCATCAGCCAGGAGCAGTGGATCACGCCTGTAATCCCAGCATTTTGGGAGGCCAAGGTGGGCGGATCACGAGGTCAGGAGTTTGCAACCAACCTGGCCAATATGGTGAGCCCTGTCTCTACTAAAAATACAAAATTAGCTGGGTGTGGTGGCTTGTGCCCTGTAGTCCCACTTACTCTGGAGGCTAAGACAAAAGAATTGTTTGAACCTGGAAGGTGGAGGTTGCAGTGAGCTGAAATCGTGCCACCACACTCCAGCTTGGGTGATAGAGCGAGACTCTGTCTCAAAAATAAATAAATAAATAAATAATCATAAATTGAAAAAATCTGAGTATGTTTAAAAATATACTAGTTTTAAATCTTTCTGAAATGAAAGGTCTGATAAGTTGCATATCTTACCACTACAGATAGGGTACTTATGGCATAATACGTTTTACCATAATTTATAGAAAGGCACTACATTCAAGAGGTATAAAGCAGGACACATAAAACATGGATTACTAGAGAAGTTCTTGTTATGAAATAAAATAATCTGTTATTTTTACTTAGGTATTAAGGACTCCAAGAAGCTAAATGACAGCTCTCTTCTAGAAACAACTCTAAAGATTAAAGAAAAACCTATTTTCAGATACATTGAAAAGAATGTATTATTGACCACATTTTATTATTTGAAAAAAATCCTGTATGGTATTAAATCTTTTTTTTTTTTTTTTTTGAGACAGAGTTTTACTTTTGTTGCCCAGGCTGGAGTGCAATGGCGTGAACTGGGCTCACTGCAACCTCTGCCTCCTGGGTTTAAGTGATTCTCCTGCCTCAGGCTCCTGAGTAGCTGGGACTACAGGCATGCACTACCATGCTCAGCTAATTTTTGTATTTTTAGTAGAGACGGGGTTTCTCCATGTTGGTCAGGCTTGTCTGGAATTCCCGACCTCAGGTGATCCACCCACCTTGGCCTCCCAAAGTGCTGGGATTACAGGCGTGAGCCACCACATCTGGCCAGTATTAAATCTTAACCATAGTAACTAGCACTGTAATATTAAAAAACCTGTGTTCATTGATTGAACAAAATACTTAATTTAAATGGGAGGAAATATATTCCTTGAAGTAGGACAAACATCCATGAAATTCTGAGTGGTTATGGCAGGAGAGTAGAGGACAGATTCAATAAACTTGACCCAAATGCCAAAATCTAAGATTATAAACTGGATAGGTAGAAGCAGCTGAAGTTTTCCTGTTTCATTCTTCCCTTCTAAGAACTGGAAGTAGAGAGGTATGACATAGAAACTTTGGGGATAGACATACTTGTAATTATCATGGAATCATACAAGGGCAGAGAACCTCACTGTTTTTTCCTTTCTTTTTTTGAGACGGAGTCTCGTTCTGTTGCCCGGTTGGAGTGCAGTGGCGCAATCTTGGCTCACCGCAACCTCCGCCTCCCAGGTTCAAGAGATTCTCCTGCCTCAGCCTCCCAAGTAGCTGGGATTTCAAGCGCACGCCACCACACCCAGCTAATTTTTGCGTTTTCAGTAGAGACGGGGTTTCACCATGTTGGCCAGGATGGTCTCGATATCCTGACCTCACGATCTGCCTGTCTCAGCCTCCCAAAGTGCTGGGATTACAGGTGTGAGCCACCGCGCCTGGTTGTTCTTTCCTTTCTTTTGGTTAACACCGTTCTTTGTTACAAACCACACTGATTCAAAACACATTCTTTCCAGGTTAATTTTTATTTTATTCTATTGAGATCTGCCCTTAGAAGGAAGTAATTCATATCACAGTTCTAGAAGCACATACCATTTTCCCTTCGTTTAAATTCTTAGCCTTTTCTCTCCTCTCTATTCATATATGCGTGCATACACACACACACACACACACACACACACCCTCCATTCTAAAGATTTTGTTAAGAGTGGCTTTGAGGACTAGCAGATTCTCACTTCTCTGACCACAACCCACATCTCTTTGCCTCTTCAGAGACCCTCTTCTTCCCCATTCTCCTCCCACACTAACATTTGGCTGTTTTTCGGTAAAGGATATTGGTGCCATGGGAGGAACTGCTTCACATACTCTCTATATATAGAGTATGTGAAAGAAAGTAAGAATTAGTGAATGGCAATATTCTCTCAGCTTCTGGTTGGTAAAACAAAACAAAACAAACAAAAAACATTTTTTGGGCTGTGTATATAAAAATGATGTGCATCTTTCTGCACACAAACACTATTTTTGTTTGGTAAAAGTCCTGGATAAATAGTTTCACAGGGCAAAAAATAAAGAAAGAGAGAAAGGAAGGAAAGAAGGAAGGAAGGGAAGGATGAAAAAAGAAGAAAAGAAAGAAAACAAGGAGATCGCTAATTCCAAACGACATTCTATGATTTATTACCTAAGTAAGCTACCAACCAAAAGAAGCAGAAACAGTAACTAAATAATTCACTTAGGAATGAGCATGTTTCTTTTTTTTTTTTTTTTGAGACGGAGTCTCACTCTGTCGCCCAGGCTGGAGTGCAGTGGCCGGATCTCAGCTCACTGCAAGCTCCGCCTCCCAGGTTCGGGCCATTCTCCTGTCTCAGCCTCCTGAGTAGCTGGGACTACAGGCACCCGCCACCTCGCCCGGCTAGTTTTTTGTATTTTTTAGTAGAGACGGGGTTTCACCGTGTTAGCCAGGATGGTCTCGATCTCCTGACCTAGTGATCCGCCCGTCTCGGCCTCCCAAAGTGCTGGGATTACAGGCTTGAGCCACCGCGCCCGGCCAGGAATGAGCATGTTTCATTGTCTTGTAATGGGTTCATCATCATTAGGCAGTTAATCAGGGGGTATAATTACCTGGATATGCATTTTTATTATTGCTTTTCCAATTAGGGTTGCACCAAAGAAGGTCCAAAAAGGTACCAGAAAGTGTCCACACGTTATTCCAGCCAGATCAAATAGAGGATTTGGAATCTATAAAGAGAAAAAGAAGGACTTCCATATTATAATCCAAAGAACAATTTAATTTTATCATCCATTGATATGTGGTATTCTGCTTTTAGCCTGCTTACACTGCAAAGCAACATATGGGTTCCTTGATCAGTACTGGATTGTTCAAAAGGAGGTTAGGGAAACATCCTAAGGTGTCTAGAAGCTGGGTCTCATATTCACCTTAGGTGTTCAATCTGCTCACAGCAAACCAAGGTGTCCTTTTGCTTATATTACTCATGGCTAAGGCACTGTGTGTGTGTTTGTGTGTACACCCATCACATGAGAACTGGATGGATAAAGTAAGTGGACCTGCAGGAATTTAATACCATTCAGTTGATTCCTAGCTATTTGGTGGCTGTTTTCTAAGGTGAGGTATGAGTGAAGAAAGAGCCTTAAGATTGTTTCAGCAGTGAGGGTTCTAAAATCTTTAGCTTGAAATGTGAACATTATCTGGAAAGCATTCATATCATTAACAAACATTCTAATAAATTCTCAAATACAGTTACGGGTGGATGTGCTGTTATTCTCAATGTAAAATATTAATAATTTTTATTTTATTTTATTTTATGGGACACCAAGTCTGAGGGCCATGTGATACAATTTAGAAAGAAGATCAAGTGTGGAAATACGAGAGTACACAGATTCAGATGTTTTGAATACTCAGTCCCAGACAAAGAAGTGATTCACAACAAATACCTTTTCCAAACATTCCCACATTTTAAGAATGCTAAAAGACATTTCATGTAAAAATGCAAAGAAGCCATAAGCTATTTCTGAGCACTTCATCCATTCTTCTCCTCCAGAAAGTACTCTGACCTTGTGGCTGTTGGCTGAACCATTAATAAGCCAATTAATTTATATAATTTCATTTTTGAACTTTGAAAGGCTAGTTATTTGAAAAATATTTGTCACATATGGTCTTTAAAAAAACACATGATTAAATTAGAATTCAAGTATTCCTTTGTTAGCAACACTTGGATTCAATGACTCATTTTTGTTTTTCTCATCCAAATTCAAATGCTTTAGGATTATTTCTTTTTTTTTTTTTTTTTTTTTCTTGAGACAGAGTCTCACTCTGTCGCCCAGGCTGGAGTGCAGTGGCCGGATCTCAGCTCACTGCAAGCTCCGCCTCCCGGGTTCACGCCATTCTCCTGCCTCAGCCTCCCGAGTAGCTGGGACTACAGGCACCCGCCACCTCGCCCGGCTAGTTTTTTGTATTTTTTTAGTAGAGACGGGGTTTCACCGGGTTAGCCAGGATGGTCTTGATCTCCTGACCTCGTGATCCGCCCGTCTCGGCCTCCCAAAGTGCTGGGATTACAGGCTTGAGCCACCGCGCCCGGCCGGATTATTTCATCTCTTACAATCATAAAATAATATAATTTACACAGCACTACACCTGCCATTTCTTATATTTGCTCATGTGACTCTCATAACTCTGAGTTATAACTTTTTTCCTTTATCATGAGGTTCCAACTCATGTTGAAATGAAAATGAATTTAAAGTATTTATTTATTTATTTATTTTATTTTATTTTTTTTTTTTGAGACGGAGTCTCGCTCTGTCGCCCAGGCTGGAGTGCAATGGCGCGATCTCGGCTCACTGCAAGCTCCACCTCCCGGGTTCACGCCATTCTCCCGCCTCAGCCTCCGAGTAGCTGGGACTACAGGCGCCCGCCACCACGCCCGGCTAGTTTTTTGTATTTTTAGTAGAGACGGGGTTTCACCATGTTAGCCAGGATGGTCTCAATCTCCTGACCTCGTGATCCACCCGCCTCGGCCTCCCAAAGTGCTGGGATTACAGGCTTGAGCCACCGCGCCCGGCCTGAATTTAAAGTATTTAAGATATGTAGGCTGGGCGCAGTGTCTCACGCCTATAATCCCAGCACTTCGGGAGGCCGAGGTGGGTGGATCACTTGAGGTCAGGAGTTCGAGACCAGCCTGGCCAACATGGTGAAACCTTGTCCCTACTAAAAATACAATAATTAGCTGGGTGTAGTGGCGCATGTAGCTACTGGGGAGCCTGAGGCAGGAGAATCACTTGAACCTGGGAGGTGGAGGTTGCAGTGAGCCGAGATTGCGCCATTGCACTCCAGCCTGGGCGACAGAGGGAGACTGTCTCAAAAAAAAAAAAAAAAAAAACAAACAAAACAAGGATTTAAGATACGTAAATCAGAATAGCCATGAGCTAACATCGCTTTACACAGGTTTTATATAAATTCTTCCTTGTAACTAATACTTGAAACTTTGGAAAAAGATTTCTTATCTATAAATTTGAGGAAAGAATGAAGTCATCCTTATTTGGTTAAATGTAGTTTGTTATATATTCTTTATGGGAAGAATGGATTTTCTCTCTTTTTTCTTACTGATTTAAACCATTTAGGTCTGAAGTCATCACTGCATGATGTACTTAAAAGCCAATAAACAAGATGTGAACCTATTCAACAGAAAACAGCTCATTTAATAAGTTGAATTGGGCTGGGTGCGGTGGCTCACCTGAGGTCAGGAGTTCAAGACCAGCCTGGTCAACATGGTGAAACCCCGTCTCAACTAAAAATACAAAAAAATTAGCTAGGCGTGGTGGTGGGCGTCTGTAATCCCAGCTACTTTGGGAGGCTGAGGCAGGAGAATCATTTGAACCTGGGAGGTGGAGGTTGTAATGAGCCGAGATTGTACCATTGTACTCCAGCCTGGGTCACAAGAGCAAAACTCTGTCTCAAAAAAAAACAAAAAAAAAGTTGAATGGGCCAGGTGTGGTAGCTCATGCCTGTAATCCCAGCACTTTAGGAGGCCGAGGCAGGTGGATCACTTGAGCCCAGGAGTTTGAGACCAGCCTGGGCAACATGGTGAGATCCTGTCTCTACTAAAAACACAAAAATTAGGTGTGGGGGCACATGCCTGGAGTCCCAGCTACTAGGGAGACTGAGGCAGGAGAACTGCTTGAGCCCGGGAGACGGAGGTTGCAGTGAGCTGAGATCATACCACTGCACTCCAGCCTGGATGACAAGAGGGAGACTCCGTCTTAAAAAAAAAAAAAAAAAAAAAAAAAAGTGAATGATTCACAAAATTACATACCCAATAAAAGTGATAGCATTTTTGCTAATTCAGGAGTATATATGGATCAAAATATAACACTACCACTTAGTAAAAGTTCTGTTTTAATACAATTCACTTACTGAAGCACAGGCCAAAATTCCAAAAAATCCAACTTTCTGTACTAGGTTCTGAACTGCCAGTTTGGCCCGGGAGGCAAAGTCCTGTAAAAAGGCAAATTTAGAAACATTAATGAAAAGTAGGAAAAGAAGGAAGATGGTTCTTTCCAGAGTTTATTAAAAATTTCACAATCTGATGACACTGATTAATAAGATGAATGATGAAAAAAATCACAGTAGGTTGTTCACTGAAACACAAGTAAAATAATGATAGAATATTATATCCTTAAAGTTAAGCTCTTACCACATTTTAAGAATAAACCAAAACACTGTAACTTTAAATTTAGTATTCTCTCTGGATATTCTAGGGATTAACAAAATATTGTAAACTAACCATGAACCAATTTATTATTTTGGAAACACTGGCCTACAACATCTACCTTTTCCTCTCTTCTATAATTTGCCAGATTTCATATCTAATTGATAGCAGGGTAGAAAGTCATAGGAGTTTTCAAGATGGCCAATGAAGACATCTCTGCCGATCACTAGCCAGAAGATGGAAAAAACAGTTATGTGGCAATAACTAAGCATTCATTATCCCAGAAGCAAAAGAACATCCTACATTTGCACAGCTTGTGCTAGTTTTGTAAAACATTCTCACCATTTTTTTTTTTTTTTTTTGAGACGGAGTCTCGCTCTGTCGCCCAGGCTGGAGTGCAGTGGCGCGATCTTGGCTCACTGCAAGCTCCGCCTCCCGGGTTCAGGCCATCCTCCTGCCTCAGCCTTCCAAGTAGCTGAGACTACAGGCGCCCGCCACCGCGCCTGGGCAATTTTTTGTATTTTTAGTAGAGACGGGGTTTCACCGTGGTCTTGATCTCCTGACCTCGTGATCCGCCCGCCTCGGCCTCCCAAAGTGCTGGGATTACAGGCGTGAGCCACCGCGCCCGGCCTCTCACCATGATTTTATTTGAGCTTTCAACAATTCTGGTGTGTAGGTATAGTAGATATTATTATACCCAATCTATAGACCACAAAATTGCAACTCAGAAAGGGTAAGTGATCAAGATCATAATGTCAGTTAGGGACAAAGACAGGACATGATTCAATATTCAGACACTGAAATCAGTGCTTTTTATTTCACTCTGTTACCTCCTCCCATGCTGAAATATGCATTCGGCTGGCTAGTTCTTTCAGTATGTTGATGCTACAAATATTTGACTTTAATTCTTTTCTGGTTTTGAAATGGCATATATTGCAATCCAAATTCCAATGAAAATAGTTTGTAAGACAAAAAATGAGCTAATGTGTAAATGCTTTTTTTGTGTATAAATGCTTTATTAATAAGTCTTCATATCATAGAATCTCTTCCACACTCTTTAGTCCAACTTTCTTTTTTTTTTTTTATTTTTTTGGGACAGAGTTTCACTCTTGTTGCCCAGGCTGGAGTACAATGGGACGATCTCGGCTCACTGGAACCTCTGCTTCCCGGGTTCAAGTGATTCTCTTGCCTTAGCCTTCCCAGTAGCTGGGATTATAGGCGCCTGCCACCACGCCTGGCTAATTTTGTATTTTTGGTAGAGCGGAGGTTTCACCATGTTGGTCAAGCTGGTCTTGAACTCCTGACCTCAGGTGATCTGCTTGCCTCGGCCTCCCAAAGTGCCGAGATTACAGGCGTGAGTCACGGCACCCAGCCTTTAGTTCAACTTTCTAAAAGACAATAAAGAGAATATAGAGGCTGGACAGATCCATCATAGAGAGTAGAAACAAAGTTTAAAGTCAGAAAAGCAAACTAGTTGAAAAATATACTTCTCTAATTGGCACAGAATCTGTGTATCCCCACTTACAAAAACATTTTGACAAATAATACTGTGTAGAATAGTCCTACAAAGTTACCACAGTAGTTAATACTGAAATTAAAGCAAATAAACAAAAAACTTAACTCTACTTGTTGAAGATGATGAGAAAATCAAAGAAACCAAACCAATAAACTATATTAAAAAAAAAAAGATCAGTCAATATAAACACTTTCAAGTCCAAATACGTAGGCTTTCAAAGTTAATCATTAAATCCTACAACAAAATTTAGCAATTTTGGCCAGGCGCGGTGGCTCAAGCCTGTAATCCCAGCACTTTGGGAGGCCGAGGCGGGCGGATCACAAGGTCAGGAGATCGAGACCACAGTGAAACCCCGTCTCTACTAAAAATACAAAAAATTAGCCGGGCGCGGTGGCGGGCGCCTGTAGTCCCAGCTACTCAGGAGGCTGAGGCAGGAGAATGGCGGGAACCCGGGAGGCGGAGCTTGCAGTGAGCCGAGATAGCGCCACTGCACTCCAGCCTGGGCAACAGCGTGAGACTCCGTCTCAAAAAAAAAAAAAAAAAAAAAAAAAAAAAAAAAAAAATTTAGCAATTTTATAATCTATTTCCAAAGAGATAATTATTAATTTTTCTTTCTGGGATTAGACTTACTTTTTCACCAAGTCAATTACATCAGATTTAATTTTTTTTTTTTTGAGACAAAGTTTCACTCTTGTTGCCTAGGTTGGAGTGCAATGGTGCGATCTCAGCTCACTGCAAACTCTGCCTCCCGGGTTCAAGCGATTCTCCTGTCTCAGCCTCCCGAGTAGCTGGGATTACAGGTGCATGCCACTACGTCCAGCTAATTTTTGTATTTTTAGTAGAGACAGGGTTTCATCGTATTGGTCAGGCTAGTCTCGAACTCCTGACCTCCCACCTTGGTCTTCCAAAGTGCTGGGATTACAGGTGTTGAGCCACTGCCCCAGGCCTCAGATTTAATATTTTTAAACAACTGAACTACTGCAGCAAAGGGCATTTTCTATTTTTATTTAGATTTCTAGCTGAAGGTTAATTTTTTTCTTAGCATCTATTGCATTAAGTGTGAAGTACTGAGTTTTATTGATTTAAAACCATATAAGAATATATAATCAAATCAGTTTTCCTATATAGCTTATTTTAAAAACAAATTAATTTCTACTTCTTTTATTACATTTTATTATTTACTGCTCCTCTTCACTAATCCTATCCTTCTGCAAAATCCATTTATTTTTAACAATTTATACAATTAGCCCCCAAATTACTAAGTTTATAATCCATTTGAAGCACTAAATAAAAACTGGTAAAAAGAAATGTTTTAATTGTCTAAAGTATCAACAGATACTATTAAATTAAAAACTAGTTATAAAATTTTAATTACTATAGCACAAGAATTAAATATATAAAATCAGGAAAATGCCTTCCTTTACAGTCCTTAAAATTTTCATAGCAAATCTGCTTTTAATGAGAGGGAAGATTGAATTCTTTTTTTTTTTTTTTTTTTGAGATGGAGTCTTGCTGGAGTACAGTGGCGTGACCTCGGTTCACTGCAAGCTCCGTCTCCCGGGTTCACGCCATTCTCCTGCCTCAGCATTCCGAGTAGCTGGGACTACAGGTGCCTGCAACAATGCCCGGCTAATTTTTTGTATTTTTTACAAAAACACAAAATACTGTGTTAGCCAGGATGGTCTCCATCTCCTGACCTTATGATCTGCCCGCCTCGGCTTCCCAAAGTGCTGGGATTACAGGCGTGAGCCACCGCGCCCGGCTGGGAAGATTGTATTCAATTGCTAAGAAAAGGGTAAAGTAAACAACAACAAAAGCATACAAATTTTATTTTAAAGACAGCACAATTTTTATAAATAAGTTTTCCAAGTCAGATATATGTGGGAATATTTTTCTATCAGCATTAATGTCACCTTTAATAGACACAAATACAGAAAATTAGTTTTTCTCCATTAAATGGTATAGAAAAGATCTACAGGTATTGTATTTAGAAAGTCTCATGTCCTCCTTTCATTTATATTAATTTCCTTTCTTTTTTTGAGTTTGCCAAAGAGTATTATCTTAATTTTAAGGCTTTAGAATTTTCTATTTATTTAAATCAAGTGACTAAGATTGTGCTATCATTTCAAACTGATGGCATTTTTCTACTCTATAGAATCATACATACACGTACAAACTTAAATAGGAAAACAGGTACAATTATACCAACTGGTTTATATAAAGAAAAAAATGATTAAACATTATGCAGATCACCTAATAATATACAAAGATATTTAAGACTACAGAAGATCAAGAAAACCTGTTTTAAAAAACATCCTGAAAACAGGTCAAAACACAGTGATCATTACTAACAAAGAGGAATAACAAGTAAGGAGCCATTTTCCCCTTTTAGGGAAGAGTATCTTTGCTTAACAGCAATTAGGCAAGAACAAAAAACAGACTTCTTGTTCTTTCAGATGCCTGGGTGCTCCTCATTAGTTATCTTTAAGGGAGCTCTAACAATCTTTATTTGAGCAAAAAGAGTTAATCTATCCAAACACGTGAAGCTGAAACCTCCTTTTACCTTTTTTATTTTTTAAATCTGAAGCTGGCATGTATTATAAGGAAAACAAGTAAAGCGCCTTTTTAATGGAGAGCTTTACTTTTTAAAAAGAGTGAAAGTCATCTACTGAAAAAGGATTTCACAAATTTTATTATGTATTTAACATACACAGTGACCATGCTACTTTCAGTTCCCATAATTTTTTTCCAGGTCTTTCACAATATTCTCAGAATTTAAATTACATTATATATCAAATAATCTATAAACATTTACTGAAATTATATTAATATGAAGTATGCACAGTTGTTTTTATTTCAATAAAATAAACATTAGCATAATATGCAGTTTGATGGAGAGTATTTTCTTGATTTTTTTCCTTGCCAGTGTAATGAAAACAAAACCAGAAAAGCACTGTATTGGTATTTTAGAATAGTAAAATAACTAATGTTTAGATTTCATAAACACGAACATATTTTATTGTTTCTTATTTTAAATTTATTATTATTTTTTAGTCGGAGTCTCGCTGTTGCCCAGGCTAGAGTGAAGTGGCGTGATCTTGGCTTACTGCAACATCTGGCTATCTGGTTCAAGCGATTCTCCTGCCTCAGCCTCCTGAGTAGCTGAGACTACAGGCACACACAGCCACGTCTGGCTAATTTTTTTGTATTTTTAGTAGAGACGGAGTTTCACCATGTTGCCCAGGCTGCTGTCAAACTCCTGAGCTTAGA